CCTGGCGGAGGCCTGGCCTCCTTGCCGGGATTTGCGCAAGAGCTGTCGAGCCTCCGTTCTCCCGGTAAGGCCTTCTCCGCTGCCGCGGGGCGAGGCGTTGTTGACGAGCCACAGAACTACTCAACGGTGCGGCAATTGTGCTCCGACCACGTGAAGTTACTGTTGAAATTTAAAAAAAAAAAAAAAAAAAGCTCTTCCTACTTTAAGCCCCTATAACCTGTTAAATAGTTGTGTGTAATCACCCTAAGCACAGCATGCAAATGCCACAGCCCAGGCGGTAAGTGCTAATTAAATTTCCGAAGTGAAGTAAAATATCTAGGCTGGCTTCACCGATTCGGAGTTAACCCTCACTGTCTTCAGGAAAAAACCACCACACAGGTGTTACCCGTCATCTGCCATTCATAGAGGAGATTCAGGACACTTGCCAACGCAATTAGCATCAAACAAGCAGACGTTAACAGCACTGCCAGACAACACAAACATGCCCGATCTGCTGCTAGCTGGATCAGTTCAAGGAACTCCTGAGCTAGATTTCACAGAGCAGCCGGATGCTTTTTCATCCCTAGTCTTCAGCAGTGAATACCCCGTTAACTTCAGAATAAACTGGGAGCTAGCAAGGAAGGCTGAGGGAATACAGCGCTCAGCTTTACTGCACGTGACCAAAGACGATCAAGCCATGTCTGTTTTCAAATATCCTCATAACCTGATCGCGTTTTATCGTCACCTAGAGACATCCTGCTAGCACCGGACAGCAGATGAATACCATACTGCAGTCCTCAGTCACCTACTGGTGAAGCAAAATTTCAAGCAGAATACTATTTCTCTGAAATGCAGAAGAAATCATTTAAACGGTTTGGGTTTTTTTTTGTAAGCACCCCACTGAATGTATTATAAGGTTTGAGAAAACTAATAAAGGATCCTCAATACCCACTTAGTAAGTCTGATCTCAGTCTTTTCAGCAGAAACACTTGTCTGAAGCAAAAGGGAAAGGGGGAAAGAAATATCAAAAACCACCAGAAGTAGTGTTCTTCAGAAGAGTATTTTCTGAGGATGGAGCTAAGTTTTATTTCTGTTGAGGAAAATAATGCCTTGTCCCAATATAGCTCTCCTGCCTATCTTACAAAGCCAAAAACACGTGATAAAGTTGGCAGTTGCACTTTCCTCTTCTTTTTCACCCCTATCTGCAGTCCTGAGATCAAATTCCCAAACGTCAATCCTTGATTTGAAGAAGAGTAAGAACAGGATGACAGTATCGGTTTTTTCCTGTAATGCCTAAGATTATTTAGATAACAAAAAACAAGATAGATAACAAGCAGAGATGGTTAACCACATAAACTCCAATTCCAGGCAGCTACTGGTAAAAGACACAGATGAAACGAGGAATAGCATTTCCTTTCTTATGCAAGCTTGTAAAATCATCAGTAAACTTTCTGTAAAGTAGTAAACAAAGCCATAATAAAATGGAAGTATATGATAACTTCTACCTCTGTGACCTACAGACAAGACAGCTTATATAAAGTGTCAAATGGTTCTAATAAAAATAAATTTAATTGTACAATATATACAAATAAAACCTTATTTGAAGGAAATATTTTAAAATATTTTTCTTTAAGGCACCTAAGGGGAAAAAAAAGAGAAGACATTAATATGTAATTAACTTTTAGAACTTACCCAAAATTTATGATAATAAAATAATTCAGTTGTTATTTAAAAGATTCTGGGAGGAACCTGTCTGTCTTCCCTTCCTGTTCCCCTAAGACCTCCTTCAGACTACTCTGTTAACAAGAACATCAGCTGTTTAAAAAAAAAAGTACAAAACCTAAGCTATGATTCTTCACAGCGTTGCATTTCAAGTACAAGTATACAGTCTCAAAGATGAACTAAAGTATACCACTTAACTGGCCATCAAACGAAAAAGTCTCTTCAGTTCATTCCTGCAAAGATTAAACACGGAAAGGTTTGATCCATGAAGAGATCATGAATAAAGAAATTCTGAGGATGTTATACGATTATCCTCCTTAAAATTTTTCTACATGTGTAATCACAGGTAGCTTCTCTGCAGGTTTTATATGTCCATAAGGACCTCGCACATTTGTATCCTTATTTATTCAGTTTGATTTATAAGAAGAACTTGCTTGAAGAATTAAGCTATCTCCATTTCATCTTCACTGCTGTGACACGGAGGACCAATCATGGGTTCTGTTATTTCAAATGTTTCTACGATGTCCTGTTTAGAGACAGCAAAATTTTAAGAGCGTCTTAAGTTACATGAGCTGAACTATTTCAATAGAATTGCAGCAGTTACTGCAAGGGAAACTTAAGAGGTTTCACTTTCTAAAGCACTATTGCAAATGACTAAGTCTATTCTGCACATTTTGAGGGAGGGACAAAGGAGACAAGTTGCTTGTGCAAAGAAACACTTTTTGCTGAAGATTTATTCAAAATAGCATACACCGAGGAAATGTTTGGAGCATTATTGACAGTTTGGATTATAATCCAAGTCCAAAGTTGTACTCTTGCTGCTAAGTGCTAAGCAGATATATGTATTTGACAGGGTTTTTGAAAGAGCAGTTCTGAATGGGGAGAATAAAGCAGAGCAGTTATGAAAGCTGCAGCTGGTAGCCAATCTCATCAATACATGCAAAACTACTGCTCATGTACTGCTTCTGTGTGGACTTCAGAATATCCTAGCTGAAAGCAGATGTTATATAAGAGGGAAGAAAAAGACTCCATTACCTGGTTCTCATATAAAAAACAGAAAAGGCAAATTATTGCACAGTTTTAAGTCAGAAGCACCTAAATCAACAAGGCTTCCAAGATCAAGCTTCCATCCCACCTCTCCTTAGTTTTCTTGCAGCTAAAACATTCGACTCATAATTGTTCTGGAATCCGTAAAATTAAGTGCGGTGATATTAACATATACAGCAAGTCCTGCCCTACTCTGAGTACGTAACAGCACAGCTCTCACAAAATTTCTTACGTTAAAAAAAAAAAAAAAAGGCGCAGAGTGCTATTGATTATACCTTCCATTCTTGATGGCTCAGAGATATGACAACTTGGTTCCGTGCTTGAGTACTATGGTCATCCTCTTTTCCCTCATCATCTTTTGCAGGCTCTGTTCAAAATATTATATTTTCATAATCTTTATAGTTGCAAAGCTCTTAAAGTCATTTTCCTTCAGGAACAAAACTGTCACAAAAATTGAATCAGTAAGATATACTCCACTAGATTTGTTTCAGTCAATAGCCGGTACCCTATGCTTCATGAGAAATTTTAGTCTTACGTCACAGAATCCTAGAAACTAACAGAGTCCCAGATGGGAATAAGTGTTTAATCCTTCATGAAAACCCAAAGTCTTAAGCCCATTGATATCTTGTGGGAATGAAAGCTGAAGACCCAGTACATAGGATGGCATTTCCTTTCAACTACTTTGAAGTTGTAGCACTTGACAGCTCAGCTAGCTAAAAGATGAGATTTCTCACATACAAATTATACTTTCTCAGCAAAACATAACAAAAGCACCCAAAATACTACTTAAAAGTAAAAGGCTACTTCTTTTCATTCTATGAATAGAATTTGTATAAATCATTATAATAGACATCTTTTTTTGTATTTCCATATTTAAATAGTAACATTTTTTTTCAGTTCTCAAGTGTCTGCATGCCATTAGTTGCATTCCATGCTTATCCCCAAATCTCTACTCTTGCAGCTAAATATGTACTTAATGCTTTGTGATACACAAGATGTAGCTGCTTTTTAACATTATAACAAAAAGTGTTCAATCAAGTTAGATGTATTTTACCTATTATTGGCAATTTATCCTCATCCAGTTTTAATCGTGCAAAACCATCCTAAAAGACAATAAGATATAAAATTTCAGACATTAGAACCATCCAAATGAGATGAGACACTGAGATGCCACAATTATCCACTGATATTGTATTACATAATCATAACCACGTACATATGCTTATGATACCGATAAGAATCTTTATTCTTATTTGGTATGACAATTATTATTTCAATATAATAACTAGTCATAAAGGAGGAATCAGTTTCTACAGGGCAGTTCATTAAATATATTTTTATTATCTAATGTTAAAGTCATAATCATTCATCAAATATACTTTGATTAGCCCTTCATAACCATATCACAATACATTATAAGCCACAGATAAGTCAAGATACATTTGTAGTTTTTTTCTTTTCCCAAGTTCAGTAAACATTTTATTAATTAGACTTGTCAAATTAAGATAGTTAGAAGCACAATCTACAGACTCCACAAGAACATAAAACATTACAAAAGAACCTTCTGTGCTACCTTATGCAGAGAAGAGAACGCTATAACTTTTAATTGAAGACACACTGAAATGAATTTATAAAACCATGAGGATGTGAGAGTAAGATTGAAAGTGCATTACTGAAAAAAGTTACAATGCTTGAACAAACAAGTATAAAAACAAGACTGTAATATTATAAAGTATGAGATTAATTTCTTTTTAAACTGACTAAAACTTTAAATTGACTTTAAATCTCCCAAGATTTCATTCATGAATAGTGAAACCTACTGAAAGTGGTCTTGAACAGACTTTTCTGTGACCTTATCCAGAACTCTACCATTTCATGAGACCTAACACTAGAAGGAATAGAAAAATCTTCTCAGTAGTAAGTATCCCTATTTGAACAGTCAACATCAGGGAGGCTTAAGGGATTTTTTTTTTTTTTTAAGACATACAAGTATTCCTCGCTTAAATATTATTATGCAGCCTAGTAATAAGCTCTTAGACATTGCTTACCCTCCAAGATCAAACTGAGGGACATTTTTAATTAAATAACTAAAGTATGTAAAGGTGACATACTGTTCTATAAATATATTAACATAGGTGAGCCAGAGTACTTTTCGAAAAGCAAAGGTATTGACAGCGAAAGTTTCACTGTTGCTTTGTTGATAAATTGCCTGGGTTAGCAGAAAAATCTAGCAGAAAAATTAATCTGTCAATTCTGTTTTCATTCTATTTACAAATTAGGAATCCTGATGTTTAGATCTTCATTTTTTCAATACCACAAAGTTCAAATCGAAACTTTTCTATAACTTCAGTATCTAAAATAAGATTTCAAGAACATATCATGTCTTACCCTTATAATGAAGGACACGTGAAAAATGTTTTCCACAGTGCGTGCAAAGGAGTTTGGATCAATCACAAGATCAAAGAAGGAAATAGGTATATCAGCTAGAGATGCAAAAATGTGTTACTTGTTAAAAACGGGTGTTATACATGAAGCTAAAAGATAAGTAGATACGATCTTAAGAAATTCAGTACTCATTTTAAAAGCTAACTAAAAGTTTATGTCAATTTAGTTGCAACGTTGAATTCACAATTACATGCAGTGCTAAAGTTCCTAGATAAACTTATTTTCTTCCACGTTTTGCCTCCCCTGCTACTCTATATGTGGGAAAGGAAATACAGGAGTTGACATTCTCTCTCTCTCTCTCTCTATAAACATCTCTCTCTCTCTCTATATATATAAATAACTTCATATGAAGTATGAAACTAAGGCACTATTCATTTCCGTTCTCCAAAAATATGTTCTAATAAGAGGGAAAGTTTTGAATTTGGATTATTATCAAACCCTAATTAATATTTAGTGTTCATAAAAACATATCTAGTCAGTATACAACCTTCAGCATAAGGTTTTCTACTTACAAACTCCAAAGCCACTCTAGCTGTGGAGGACTAAGAGTATTCATTTTCTCAAATTAATGCTTTAAAAGCTAAGCTGAAGTCATACTTACGATCATTTTTAAAATGAGTCTGCAATAATCCCAAGATCCTCTCTACTTCTTTTTCTGTAGCTTCCTGATGAGACTCCTCCATCTTTTTTAACTGGAAAAAAAGTTGCTTATTAAGAATTGTATTTCCAATGCACATACCTACTGTTGTAAGACAAACATCTTCTAAATTTTGAAAAATATTCTTCCAGAAAGTTTATACGTCAGCAGAAATGTAAGATCTGCATTACAAAAAACCTCACCGTGGTAAGTACTAAAAGGCCCTTCACCAACACAGTATGCAAATGATACAATTTTCTCCCTACGCCACGTAAGCACAGTTACAGACACTTAACGTAAAAATAAGACAACTAGCAAAAACTGAAAGAGTCACTGTTTATATGTTTTGAGTCGGTTTACAGGTCTACCCTTACTTTCCCCTAACTCGGAGGAACTAGGACAACCCTGGTGGTACTTAATCTGTGAATTTATTGAAGAAACCGAAGTAGCTTGTTTCTTAAGATCTTTAACATGTATTCAGAGAAGGTAGCTAAGTTTACCCAAGGAAGAAAGGTCATGGGGTCAAGTTGGAAATCTTAAAGGGTATATTACTCCAATTTTACAGATTTGTTCATTATCTGTAAAGAAGGGTACACCAAATTATTTTTCAAGTACTATAATCTGCAGAGTAACAAATGCACTGGGGTATGCTTTTCAATAAACTATTTGTTGTTTCTGTTAACCAATACTTTTCCTCTGACCACCTTGCAATAATGCAAGCAACAGAAACCTTTCCACACAACCATGTATCTAACACATATTAAAACATACACTGTTGAGTGTTTACCTACGTGAACATGAAGAGCAATCACATACTTTTGGTAGCAGCTCTCCCAATCCTCCTGCTCCTCTCCTTCCCAGTACAAATCTGACTGCCACTATTTCTGTCACTATTCACAATTCACTATGTCACAATTTCTGTCACTATTCAGATTATTATGAAACAAATTATATTTAAAAGCCATCACAATGTTTTACCGCTCTCTGAACTGGCAGTATCAGCCATATGTACCCAATAACAACTTGGTTTACTTTTTCAAACTCTCAAAAAAGTCCCTCTGAATTTAAGTTCTAAGACATTTGCCATTTTGACACAGGAAGACAGACGGAAAGAACAGGGAAACAGAAGGTAAGGAAAATACTACTTATGTGACCTAATTAGTTTGTTACTGTTAATGAACCAAATTCTGATATGAACACCACAGACTGTTATAGAGACTTATTTGAAAAAACACTTGAGAACACACTAACTTAAGTTTTTTTTTTTTCCTGTTCTTCCTTTCAAAGCAGTGAGCAAAGAAACTATTGTGAACTTCTCTTGATCTCTTCTGAGGATGATTACCGTTCCAGACATTTCATGCTAGAACATGGTAAACTACTGAAGTACAGGCACACAGAGAATACTATTTGTCATTTTCTTCTTCATCATTTATCAATTCAACTTCTTTCCTCTTTCAGGAGCATCAACATCTTAGCTGATAAACAAAAGAAATTCTATAAAAATACTACCACAGAGTTGTAAGATTTCAGTAAGCTGGCAATTTTTCATTCTTCATGAGAGAATGAAAGATCTCTTCATATCATTTTCCTTTCCTAAAATTGATAAAAACATGTGTAAAAGCAAGATTCTCCACTACATTTTGTTACAGTTCTGTAGGTATGACCTCTTGATAAACTGTAAAGCCGCACAAGCTCCCCAGACCTTTTTACTATTTCAGAAGGTCTGCCAGTCCTCCATTGTGGACATACATTTTATATTTATACAACTCTGTTTGAAAGACAAGTCCTGGTAGTGAATCAGTGTCAGAAAAAAGTATTAGAAGCTAGTAAAAAAAATAAATAAATAAAAATAAATCAGTCTGTCAATCCTATTTCATTCTATTCAATTAATGAAATACCACAGTCTGCACAAAACAAACCAAGAGGCCTAAGATTTAAATCTGAATCCTTCAGTACAGAACCACAAAACTAGAAATGGCATGAGTAACAGAATGATTTAAAACTCAGCTGCAATAACTCTTCTGTAATAAATCATTAATAAAAATAGTGCTTCACAAACCTGAGCAGGCATTGCCCTTTTTTCTTCTCTTCCTGTAGTCTTTTTCTGCCTCTCAATCCGTTGCCTTGGTACTGGAGGATCAGACTTGAAGGATCCCAACCTAACCCAAATAAAAAGAATATATACATTTTTTTTAAACAGTGTTTGTTAAGAAATCAATACTCAGCAGTTTACTTCCTGATAAAAGTGCAAAATAATGACTAAAATCTGAACAAAGCCTCTGATCACATTTAGGGACTACTGCAAACAACCATCCCCAGTAGTTTTTCCCAATACCTGTTGATAGCTTCACAATAAAGCTATCAATAGGATATTTTAAACTAATGTAATTAGTCCAGCTGTTCCTTTTTACTGAAAATTTAGTAAGTCTACTTTTCTTAAAACTAGAGTAACTTTTGAAACAAAGCATGACATTCATATCCTCCAAGATCTTTGTTTTTATTGCAGATTTCTCTGTATGCAAACTGGCTCCATATAACATTCATCTCTTTTTCATCCACTGTTTAGCATCTGTAAGTTCACGTTTGCAATAAGAAGTGTCTTTAAAAAAAATGATACTATATAGTCAATAAATAGAACATTCAGTACATTCAAAAGAGATCCAGAGTTCCTCATTAAATAATGAGAATGTATCCGCTAGCCCTTGTGAAGTGCCTTTCTCTCTCTGATGATTGCATCAGCAACTTAGGCACTAACTTTGGCTGCCAAGTCAAATGCCTAAATAAGAGTGTGAATCGAGCGTCAATTCAAGTTAGCTCAGCAGGTATCCAGAATTTTAGCAGCATACCCTATATTGGGTAATTTGCCACTGCTCCATTTCAAAAAACACCAGACTGACCACAGAAAAAAGAATTTGAACCTCAAATAATAGACAGAGTCAGAATTAAGTAGTTCTCTTCCTATAAGGACTGTAATTTAAAATAAACACTCTTCTAATATCTGCTAATATTCACATCTTCCATCACAAGAAGTCCAACAGTACTTAAGATCTCAAAATTCAACTACACAGAAGGAGAAATTAAAAAAAAAAAGTCCCTTCTGCAGTTTTTATAATTTTCTTAGGACAGTATTATATTTATCATTTAGGGCTTTTACCTTGAAAGTGCAAGTATGAATTTGAAATGTTTTTATCAGCTCTATCACCAAAACTTGATGGTACTAGATAGCGCTATTGCAGGCTGAGATTTAAACTGGAGGCCTCCTCACAAAAAGAGAGGGGATACTGATTCTATACAAGGACACTGGCCAGTAATCAGGAGATTTCTTCCAAAGATAGAGCTGAAAAGAAGCTACTAAGAGACAGCCCATTAACACAGATGCATGAAAAAGACTGTTCATCTCCCTTTGAAAAAAGCCTCATAATACAATCATCAGGTAAAAGATACATGAGTTTAGTCTTTCAGGGTCTAATAAAGCCCTAGTAAAGAAATGAATGATCTTCTAACACTTTTAGCTGCAGCTTGTACGGGGAGGGAAAGCAATCAGTCAGCTTTGGAAAGAAAGAGGGTGATTAAAGTCTACTGGTTTAGGTCTGAAAGACATAACTCACGAATACCTTGCTATCCCTAAAATATTTTAAAAAGTATTATTTTGTATCCAAGCCAAGTCAGACTCAAAGAGAAATATAGTAGGAGATACTTAGGAGACGAGAAGTTCCCTGTCACAACAGATGCCATGCAGAAGTCCCCATTGGCACCCTGCAAACTGAAACTAAACTTTACTCAAGCCCAGGGCACTAAAAATCAGTACAAAATTATTTTTTAGAATTAACATCAATTAAGGCCATTAGCTACAGTATATACAATTTTCCTCAAATAAACTTACATGTAGTGAAAAGAAGGTGCTCTTCTGAAGTACTTCTCTGTTTCTGCTCCCAGTTTATGCCAGGCATTACTAGGTAAATAGCCACCAGAAATGCCCTCATTATCACTATCCTTTTCTTCTACTTCTATGCGATTTAGACCCATGAATGTTAGCTACAAGAGAAAGAAATTGAAAAGGAAATTCACTTAAAAGAAAGATCAGTAGATGCATTAATGGTGAAATACTGTTATGCTGTTTGTTCTGCTAGATTAATGTTTAATATCATTGCATAACAAAAGAACGTCAATTTTCCCAAAGTTGCAGTGAAAACAGGAAAACACACATATAGACTTGCACAGCATTGCAGACAGCAGCCACGCTGCATCCGATATTAAACTTCCTATTAGGATACATTTTTATCTAAACTAAATTAGGTGACAGAATTCAATATTAGTATTTAGCAATGAGTAATTCTTTTAAGTGAACGACTTGCAGCTGTTATCAAAAGAGCAAGTCACCAGTGAACACAAACTTCAGTGTCAGAGAATGCATGGACTTCAGGAAAATGGAGGTTAGGGTTAAATCTCATTTCAAGAGATCTTAAACATGCTTTCAGATATTAGTCAGTCTTATCTTTCCAAAGATTTCACTGGGCCCAATAAAAAGGTTTTTCTTTCCTCAATAAATCTTTCTTACTTCATAGACGATAACATAAACACTAAAGAATACAGGCAGCTTTTTTTGTTCTTAATTATTTAGAATATCATCACTCCTAAGTAACTGTAAAGGGATGGATTCTCCATCCTCTGAATTATCAGAAAGAGGAAGAAAATTAAAGGATAGTGCTTCTTATGCAGTCTCCTGTAGTGAACTCGAGAACAAGATTTGGTAACTGCCATCACCCCAGTGATTGCAATAACACTAACCATAAGCTTAAGCCCAAATGCTAACCTAATAACAATTACAAGCTGCACTCTTTCACTGGCTGCACTGGGTCACAGACTCTGTCTTCAGTAAGGAACCAATGTGAGAGCTTTCCACTTGCGCAGAGCTTTTTGCATGTTTGCAATAATCACTACGCAGGATCAGCAGCAAAGAAAAAGAGAGCTACACAAGTAAAACTGTCTGTACTCCAACAGAATTTCAGTGATCTATGAAATAGGAAAGCATTACTTAAATTGCACTATAAAGCGAAAGTATCTCACAATTTCTGAACACCACACACTTCCAGGGAGCCTAGCTTTTCAGATACCATAAAACAACTTCTTTGGCCCAACCCTGCACCCATCAATCCACCCCTCCTCAGGAAAACTTTAATAAAAAAATGAAACTTGATTTTCTTATATCGTAGAATCTTGACTCAGACTCTTTAAATATCTACCATAACATATCACAAAAAGTGTCTTGAAAGAAAAATGTCTGTTGCAATGCTATTCTGAACTGACTCTTCCAACCAGTCACAGTGTAAGAGACAAGCATAGGATGGCTAAAAGTATCCAAGCAATCCAAAGTCCCATTTCATATCAGTCACCTAGGACCTTGAAAACCCCATCCAAAAACACACAAAGCAGTGAACAAGATAAAGAAACTACTTTGCTGCCATGAAACTCCAAACACTGTATATCTTAAAAAACACCAAAAAAACAAAAAGGCACAAACATCTCTCTGCTTTGGTTAAGAGCATGAACCAACTAAACTGTGATGGAGCAGCAAAAGTACAGTTATTCTATATGTGCGGACTACATTCTTAAGTTACGTTTTCCCCTCTGTAAATTGGAAATGCTAAATACATAGTTTACAACAACAATATTAACTAGAAACTTAATCAAAGAAAGTAATAGGAAGTATGTTAAGTTCTATCAGTCAGGTTCTGCCTGACCATCTACAGATTTACTTTTATGAATCTACAACAAAAAGGGCAAACCTCTAGTAAAGTTCTTGGCAAATTCCGAGTCTGGAACTTACTAGGTCTTCTGCAAATGCTGGTGAATCAAACGCTGTCATTTCAGAGTGCAACTCATTGGCTTTCTCCTTTCCTAGATTTGATGCTAAGACAAGAAATTGGGCATCCAGTGCAGCCTCTCGCGCACAGGAAACTGTTACAGAAGAAGAAAAAAAAGTGTATGTTAATAATACCTAATTGTCAAAAATATAATAGTAAAGTTTAGCATACAGAATACCCTAGGTTTACAGCTTTGTAACTGTAGAGGTTACTGTAGTGACCTCTAACACAACAAATAGCATAACACTTGCTATTTCCACAAAAAGGAGAAAAGAAGATGACGACATAGCCAAAGGCAAGCTGGGAGGTCTAACACATCATTTGGAAGAAGAAAATGGATTTTTCATTAACATGTTTTTCTCCTCTGAGTAAAGAGAAGTGAACCCACTTTGTGTACTATTTATGTATATTGCTCTATAAAGATAAAGCAAAAAACGTTTCCAAGTACAAATAACACTAAAGTAATGATATTTATATTCTGGTAACACCTTATTCAAGCAAATCCTCTTCAGCTAAAGTTATTTATCTCAAGTTATTTCATGTTTTTGATAAAGTACTTGGATCTAAATTAAATCTCATACCATTTTTGGTTTGTTTTTTTAAGTTAAGGCATCATCTCTTCATACTTGGCCAACTGTCAAGCAATCATCTCCAACAAGGGTTACAGAATTTGTTTTTACCTCCACTGAACAGCTTATTGGCTTCTTCCAAAGCTTCTGTCAGTTTGTTGCTTTTTGAATTCAGCATATCCTCACGATTTTCTGGATTGGGGGGAGGGGAGAAGAGAGAAAGGAAAATTACAAATGAAACTCCAAATTACATAAAGACACCAATAAACACATACTTGCAACTTAAAGCTAAACTGTCTGGTTCACACCCCAGCCTACTCAAAACGTACAAGACTATTTACAATACTTTCACTGTGAGATTGCATAGGCCTGATTCTTATCAATGCTCACTCACCTGCTCAGTGGCAACTTTGCATTTACATCAATGGAACAAGATTCACATGGCTGGAATTAACGTGGAACCTTATCATCTACTGTAGTTGTATGAATTATGCACATCCAACGTCATCACTCCAAAATACATTTTACTAAAAAGCTCCAAACTTTGTAATGTCAGATTCCTTATAATTCCAATTATTGTTTGTACCTGTGTCAAAGCACTTATCAGGTCCTGTAGTTTACTGAATGTCATTTGTCTCACCTATTTAAACTACTGTGGATTATCAGGAAAAAAAAGAACGCTTGATGATTTTTAACAATCATCCTGTCAAACAGATACTATATGCACCTGTGCATGTTTGATTTACAGACTTTCAGATGTCCGATTCCAAACAGCTACTCACCCCACCTAAGTGTTTTAAGAATGTACACCATTACTCAACGCACAGACATGACACTATTGCATTTCTTGGAAAGTGTTAGATTACAGAAGTGGAAACTGGATCATCCACAAACTGTGTTGCAATCTCTTAAAAACGAAACAAAACGAAAACAAACAAAATCGAGTAAGTTTAGCGAGCACGCAGAAGACAACCAACATCAGGAGCTGCTGCAGTTAGTAGTGCTTACTCAAACAAGCATTGTCATGCCTCAAAAATACAGCAATGAGAAAAACAGCACACTCTAAATATGGATGGAAGAAGTAAAACAATACATATATGTTTGTTTAGAAAACTGTTAAAAAGTTCATGGCACTTTCCAAAAGGCCTAAGGATAAGGTTTTGGCATCGGCAGATCCTGGGACCTGCAGTTCCAAGCTAAGGCTCGTTCTCAAGCACAACGAACGCAACCTTAAGAGCTTGCGGCACTTCTCTAGCTCAAGGAACGTGCCCTCCTTGCATCAAGGCACTCAAATGCACGGTACGTGCAGGTAAACCCCCCTGTAAGCTCTCTACCCTTCCGCAACCCCCCGCTTTCAGGCGGACAAATCCCCAGCTAAACACGAGGCCAGAATCTCAGCAAAGAACTTCAGGCTCCGGGAAAAGCTACTTCCCAAGATCAAGCCACGGTCCCAGCGCGGCGCCGAAACGCTGGCCCTTGCCCCCGCTGGCAAGCCTCGTTTTTTTCCGGGAGAAGA